AAAGAGTGATGATGGCTTCTGAAGCAAATGAAAGCGCCAATTCTGACAATCCAACCTCGAGGAGACACAAGAACGTCACTGTTTCTCTCCCACTTTAATTTAAAAATATAAATATTTCATAGTTTTCATTAAATAAAGTCAACTCTGAGGTTGACTCATCGAAAAAAAAGAGGTAAAGAAATAAGTTGTCCATTGAAATCAAGAGTAACGTTGTGGTTGGGTTGATACCGTTGATTAGATAAAATCCAAATGGATTAAATTAAATAATACATAATGGTATTTGAATGAAATTCAATTTAAAATCAATTGAATATAAAACTTTAAAATAAATTAATCCAATATAAAATAAATATAAAAAATATTAAAAAAATAAAATATTTTAAATTTAATAATTATTTGATAAACATAAAAAATCAGTATAAAAACGGAAAGCAAAGATGTATAATTTTTCTTAACTATTTCTTTAAATAACCAAAGAAAAATTAAATCAGTTTTTTTAGGTGAAATCTAATAGGTTTGCGGAAAATAATTATTATAATGTTGTAGCGATTTTGATGGACTTTTGACCCACCTCGCAATTTTACCATAAAAGGGGGAAAATATTTTCTTAAAAGAAAAAAAAAAGGACGCACCACCAACCCCATCATCAATCTTTAATTGTGTTTAATTTTGACTTTTCATCTCCCAATTTTAATTTTGGAGAAGTCATATTCGAATTTATTTGTTGAAATTGCATAGTGGTATTTATTTTACAACAAAATTAATATATAATAATATTTTATTGCGGTGAAAAAAAGGGCAATAAACTCTTATAGTGTCGAAAGTTGCATCGGTTATAATTGCACCTATCATTAAAAGTGGATGATTCCAACCTAAATCTAATCAAAATCTCTCATAGTGTTTATAGCAATAACAATTCACAAGTGGTTTAGTTGTACACATTCCATATCTTTGTCAACAAAAAAAAAAATTACAGACTATATATACTAATATATACACACATATATGTATATATGTGTGCGAACATATACGAGTGTTATACAATTTGGAAGTAAAAAATATGATTGGTTCCCAGTTTGGTTGAAAAATCAAAAGGTGAAAAAAAAAGTGATGATGATAAGCACTCCCAAAATCTATGAACGAGAATCATTTAGATTGCCTTTTTGAATTCTAAGATTCTGCATTCCCACTTATTTATTTGGCTTATGCTATTTCCAAAAAAAATCATATATATATATATATATATATTCTTACCTTTATTCTTTATTTATTTTTGGGAGGTGGGTTTATGAGGAATGTAAATTTGGCTTTGAAAAAATTACAGATTTTCATCACATTCTCTCTATGTGTTTTCTTCCAAAATATCTTAATTTTTTTTTTCTCCATATAGGTTTTAGTATCCAAATTTCTTGCGGTGTTTTTTCCAAAAAAAAAAAATTATTAACAGAAAAGGATGAGATGCTATAAACATTAGTACGTCATATTTCGATATATAATATCAGATAGTTTCACTTTTATGGCAATTGAAAAAACAATGGAAATGTTGAATTATTGTTTAAGAAAAATTTTAATATTAGAATGCGTTTATTATGAATTGTTTGCAAGATTACGGCTTATCACAGGCATGGAGGAGTCTCTGTCCTCAGCTTGCACAAATTAAATAACTGATGGACGAATATGAAATATATGATTATATTATATAACAAAGTTTGCATGATTTGAGATTTATAAAATGACTCCATTAATTACCAAAAAACACAGAATTTAAGCAATTGATTAGAACGAAAACGATGAAGTGGGGGCGGACCTACCAAGGAATGATTCATGAAACTACACATCACAACCATCTATGGTGCTTCGACCGCAACAATCTTTTCAATAATTCTTCTTCCACCCATTACAATGCATATATATATATATATATATATATATATATATCGAATTGATAGAACCTAAACTAAATATCAAAATAACCGAATAGAAACGGTTTTTGGTAGAAAATATGTTTTTTAAAAATTATAACCAAAGCCAATTGAATAAAATCCAAAATAAATAAAAAAAAATCGTTGTAAAAATCAAATAGATATTGTGAAATAAAATGATGAACCGGAAGATAAAATTTTTTTATTGTTGTTGTTATGCAATGGTACTCTTCACATACACCGACATATCTATTCTTAAAAAGTTCAATAAAAAATTAATGAAATGATAAAAGTCTTCATCCTCACTCTTATTTCATATCGGATACGAATTCACATGGAATGATAATGAAATTCTAGTCGGATGACATATCCAAATTATACTTATGGATTTATAAGGAGATGGGCATAGATGATATATATGTATGCGTGGGTGTATACATATTATATATATATGTATATATGCATAGTTGTGTGTATAAAGTGTACAGTGGGTATAAAGAAATGCAAAATTAATATATTATTTTAAAAAAAGAAAGAAATAGATTCCCTAAGAAAGGACCGGTGTCGGGAGTTGTATAAATAAATGGGGAAGGGGGTTAAGCATTTCAACCCATCCTCTCCTCTCGAGTCAATTCAATTTGCCTATCTCTCTCACCTCTTCTTACTCTCTCTCTTTGGTAACCATATACACATAAAATTTACAGATATTCATACACACGCATATATACACACAGTCTTCCATAGACATCAACCTCAAGCTCAGAGAGAGAGAGAGAGAGAGATGAAGGGCATGTTCGTGGAGCAGAACATTGGGGCTTATGAAAGTGGAGATGTGAACAAGAGCTTTGTCGACGACGATGGCCGCGAGAAAAGAACCGGTAACTATATTTGCATTCTCTCTCTCTCTCTCTCGTTTAATTTTCTTGTTTTTAATTATTAAATTAGTGTTTTATTGGAGCAATAATCTGAAATTTCACGAATATGATTTTGAAAAGTTAATGAAAGGAGGAATCTGAAACCGGTGTTTTAGCGTTTGGAGTTTATCATATTCTCTTCAAAAGTTTTTCTAGATTCCTTTTTGGCGAAATATTAAACGGCGTATTATTACAAATTTACATATTCATTTCTTGGCAATTAATACCAACCGATTCTTATTACAATATTTACATATTCATTTGTCTCTTGACAAAAATTACAAAATACTGAGTCATTCAAGAAATCCATAAATATATATCAGTTAATATTATATTAACATATTCATGTATATGTTCCTTTTTTTTAATCTTCATGTATATGTTCTTTTTTTTTAAGGAATTCATGTATATGTTCTTAACTTGCATATAAGTTTTTTTTTTTTAAAATATGTGATTTTCAGAGATTCAAATTTTAGGTGTGGACAGCACTTTGTGCTTCCACAACCACCGAACCACATACATATAAGTTACATCTAGATAGCTAAAACTGGTCCAATTAAAACACACACACACACGTGTGTATATATATATATATATAACATAATGGTGGTGTATATAGGGACATGGATGACGGCAAGCGCGCACATAATAACGGCGGTGATAGGGTCGGGAGTGCTGTCGTTGGCGTGGGCCAACGCGCAGCTCGGCTGGATAGCCGGTCCGGCCGTACTGATGGCGTTCTCTATCATAACGTATTTCACGTCCACCATGCTCGCCGACTGTTACCGTTCGCCTGACCCCGTCACCGGAAAACGTAACTACACCTACATGGAAGTTGTTCGCTCTTACTTAGGTATTTGTTCTTGTTACATTTCCCTTTCAATTAGTATTCTTATATATATATATATACACATATAGTCTTTGTAATTTCATGATTATACATAAAGGGTGTCTGTTTTTGCATGTTGTTTTTCACTAATATTATATATTGATTATTTGCATATATATATATATATACACGTGTGTATGTGTTTGTTCTTGTGAGATGTATGCTGATTTGGGCAATGGATAAAGATTATCACGTGAAATTTGTCCAGATTGTAAGTTTTGAGTTTGATCATTGATTCTCTTATGCATGTGACCGTCCTTTTTTAACTATGTTTTTTTTTACAGAATTTTGGTTTTTTTTAATCATGAAATCCGATATTGATTTTTATTTTCCATTACTTAAATACCTGTAGTCTTTGTTTCTTGTCGTGTGTGTTTTTATTACAACATGGTTGGTCGGGTCGTTCAGATTTCAACTCCATTATTGTCCTCGTCGTCAACTTGACTTCATTTTTTTTTTTGCTGTGGAGAAATCAAATTCAATCACTCTTATATTGATTTGACACAAAAAAATGAATTAATACATGATATTTTTTGTAGGATACAAATTGTATAACTCGATTTCAATATATGAAATGCTAATATAATATATGATATTTTTATTTGTTTTTCGAAAAAAAAACAGGGGGAAGAAAAGTCCAATTATGCGGGTTGGCTCAATACGGGAATCTGATTGGAATAACCATCGGTTATACAATCACAGCATCAATAAGCATGGTGTAAGTTTTATTTATTTATTTTTATTTAATTTTCTCAATTTAATTAATTTCGTCAACACTCGTTTACTTGTTTCTATTTTTTCAAAGTCTCTTCAACTACCCCACATGGAAATTCAGGAAGACAGAAACAAACTTATATTTTTTAAATAAAATACAGCACTAAACTAATCTTCAAAATTTGGAAAAACATCTAATTAAAATATCTATCCAAATAAACAAATCATATTTTATAAAGATATAAACAATTTTTTTATTTATCTTTTTTAACCTTTTAAAAATATATTTAAAAGTTTAATGTCTCGACAATCTTTTTTTAACGATATTAATTTTTATATTCGTAAGAAAATTGAAGTTTAGCTTTTATAAACTCAGTTTATGGGTAATTAAGATTTTCAAAAAAAATTTAAGAGTTAAAGGCTCTTTTGGACCTTTCACCATAAAATAACCTTTTTTGCCAATCTTTTGTCCTTAAAGGCAGTGACCCACCAATTGTCCAAAATTAATTGCATAGATATACGTATACAATTAATAAAATTCTATATATATATATATATATATGTGTGTGTATATTTAACGAGAAACGCGACATTTAATGCATAGCAAACCTAAGCAAAGCATCATATCAGTCACTTATAACAAACATAACATAAGAATATATCTGAAATACTCCCATTTAGTGTCTCAAAATTACACAACAAGAAGTGTATATATATAAAAGAACTTATATGTGTATATACACCGATATTTATATTTATACGATAGTATATATGCATATAAACACTTGAATCTTGTGAAGATATACCGATAATTTTTGTGGTTTCGAATAAGATTATTGATGGATATTTTCATATTACATATAGGGCTGTGAAGAGATCGAACTGTTTCCACAAGCACGGACACCATGTGAAATGCCAAACATCAAACAATCCCTTCATGATAATATTTGCTTGCATCCAAATCGTTCTAAGCCAAATCCCTAACTTCCACAAGCTCTCTTGGCTCTCCATTCTCGCCGCCGTCATGTCCTTCGCTTACGCCTCCATAGGCGTCGGCCTCTCCATCGCCAAAGTCGTCGGTATGTATATATATATAACCTATTCTTTTATATTCACTTATACAAATCAAAGTTTAAATATTCAGTTCTATACTCTGATTCGATCATTTTCTAACGATATGCGGAAATTAAAATGAAGGTGGTGCGCATTCACGGACTGCCCTGACGGGAGTGACGATCGGAGTCGATGTAACGTCGTCCGAAAAAGTTTGGAGAACGTTCCAAGCGATCGGCGATATCGCGTTCGCTTACGCTTATTCCACCGTCCTCATCGAGATTCAAGTAAATAACTCTACTCTATCAACTTTAATAAAATTTCATTCCATTTTTTTGCAAAATATAAATCAATTTGATACTTAATCCAATTATTAAAAAAAAACAAAGGTCTATGAAAAAATGGCAAGATAGGGTGTATAATATAGTACAAAAGTCTTTGACTTTATGGACGTGGGGAAAACTAGGGTTTGGTAAATGAATCCAAAAAAACACTACCACTTGAAATGCGTGCCGTCTGGTGAAAAGGATGACGCCACGGCACGGGCCTCCTGCTTTTCAAAACGTCAACGCGTTCGTGGGGCCTTTGTCACTGAAGTGAATGCTGGAGTTAACTCAATGTGTGTTGTCTTTATTGTCACTTCCTTCCAATAGCTAAATAAGAATATCATTTATTCCATAGAAAATAAGAATAGTCAAAGTCTAAGTCTTTTGGTAGTGAACAAAGACTGGGGACCAAACCCTTGTGCTACTTACTAGTAATAATGGAATTTGTATTTGGTCAAAATATAAAACAACCGTGTGAATGTGAATTCGAGCCGGTTTAGTGATAACCGGATTGGTAACCGATCATATCAACTGTCGTAAACGACAACAAAGGAATAATTGTCTTTAGGGGTTTTTTGGACATTACACTTTTTGGAGATTCTTCTCACTTTCAAACTTGAGCTTTATCATGTAAGTGATGGGTACACATAATGAAAAGATAAAGAAGAGAATATTTTTCATGTTACAAAAAAGGACCACAAACTCCAAAGTGGAACAATGTTCTTTAGGACCCACACCCACTTATGATTGAAATCCACTAAAATCTTGTACTGATGATTCCATTGGTTTGAACAAATGACCAGAACCCTCTAGTTCAATTGGAAGGTTAAATAACAATGTTTTTTGTTACAGGACACACTGAAGTCAAGCCCAGCAGAGAACAAGGCCATGAAAAGGGCAAGTTTGGTCGGTGTCTCGACGACAACCATGTTCTACATGCTATGTGGCTGCGTTGGTTACGCCGCCTTTGGCAACGACGCTCCCGGGAACTTCCTTACTGGTTTCGGTTTCTATGAGCCCTTTTGGCTCATCGACTTTGCCAATGTCTGCATCGCCATCCATCTCATTGGCGCCTACCAGGTATAAAAACCCTAGACCTTGAACAGTACTCATTAGAGGCTTCTTGCCAAAACTAGACCTAAACTTTGGATTGAGGATAGTGAAGTGTACCTTTTGGGTATCTGGGTAGGTGTTTTGCCAGCCGATCTTTCAGTTCGTGGAGAGCCAGAGCGCCAAACGTTGGCCGGACAACAGGTTCATAACGGGCGAATACACAATCAACATACCTTTCTGTGGCGAGATTTATGTCAGCTTCTTCAGATTGGTTTGGAGGACGTCATATGTTGTCGTGACGGCGGTCGTAGCAATGATCTTCCCGTTCTTCAACGATTTCTTGGGTCTCATCGGGGCAGCCTCGTTCTGGCCATTGACAGTGTACTTCCCCATAGAGATGCATATTGCTCAGAGGAAAATGAAGAAATTCTCATCTACCTGGACATGGCTGAAGATTCTAAGCTGGGCATGCTTGATTGTCTCCCTCGTTGCTGCTGCTGGATCCGTCCAAGGACTCATTCAAAGCCTCAAGACCTATAAGCCATTCCAGGTCCAACAATGAAGTTCTTCTTCTTGACCAATTCGGATCCAAGAAGACAACCATGTAAGATTAATCAATAAGTCTGTGTATTCCTTTGTAGTTTATTGGTGGTGTTGCAAACCAGCAAACAACTTGTACTTGTGCTTGTCAGGTGAATCTCTGAAAGAAATCTATCAGCAATTAGTTTCTATACCATCACTGCAAAAGGCATGTGAAAACACAAAAGAACCGAAGCACGGAAAGAAACGCAAATCACTTGCTTATGCAAACAAATGGCAATCCTATTTTACACTTTCCTAGCTACTGAAGGCCAAGAAAATGTTTTAAGAAAACTAAAAACTCAAGCTATCATAAGCATGCAAATGATTCAGTTGTTCCAATGAAATTTGGAACCACAAGTAATAGAATTTATTACCAAAAGAAACCATTTCATCTTCAAGAAGCAGAAGACATCAAAGTGCTCAACAAAAAAACTAGAAATGATCAGTATAACTACAGAGAAGATATGCAGACAACATTAACAGAATCCCGACAAGAACCTCCATCTCCAGATTCGTGAACTGGAGGGACAATATCCGAATTCCGACCCGGAGAGGAGAAAGAAATAATGGAAGAACCCTAGATGTTATAAGCGACAGAGCCTCTTGAGCTGCTTCATTCTCTGTCATGTAACATCACACCTCGAACATATGTTGTTCCTATTTGCTTAAAAAAACACTCACAACATCAAAATGACCAATGCCAAAGAAAGGGGAGCCCGGTGCACAAAGCATCCCGTTGATCGGGGGTCCGGAGAAGTGTCCCAACCACAAGGGTGTATTGTAGGCAAACCTTACCTTGCAGAATATTCTGCAAGAGGCTGCTTCTAGGACTCGAACCCGTGACCGACGACAACATCTTTACCATTGCGCCAAAGCTCCCTTTCATAATATTCCGCACTGTGTGGTCTAATTTCCATCGTGTTTCCGCACCTTGACTGGTAAGAACAATGACTGGACATGCACGATGGAAATTAGAGCACGCAGTGCGAAATATTATCCTCTCAAAACAGGAGCTATCATCGATGCCCAGAAATTCAGTCCTCGAGAACTGGTTCCACCTCACTCTAGATATTTCTTCTCCATTGTAGTGGTCTTCTCCGTTCCATGTGAACATAGCCATTTTCCCATGGGTATCCCTTAGATTTGTATACGGTTTAAAGACCGGGATGTAAATCGAACCTTATTTTTTGGTGTATATTCACATTCAACCAAAAAACCTCTCACCTCCAAGCCAGATTCTCTATAACTCGCGGAAGAAATCTATCACCCTCTTCCCCATGATACATTTTTACCCATTTTCGAAGCAGAGCACATCAAATAGAAGAATATAGCATCGGCCATAGACTTCAAAGCCAGATATCCATATCAGAGCCCACTAGATGACTCTTGACTCCATTGAATCCTAATCACAGAATCTCTTAGAAGGTGAGCTTTTTACATGTCAATAATCTTTGGAAAACCTCCTTTGAAACAATTTCCAACAAGCATCAGATTCGGAGTCTTCTATCCGAAATTACACATTAATGTTGCTAGAGATTAAGCCAAGTATCAGTTTATCAATTCAAAGAAAAGTGTACCTTCGTCGCCACCAAATCTACAATACCCTAATCCTGAGAAGCTAAGAAGCCAATTCTTTCCACAAATCCCCGAAAATAGTACAAAAACAATTACTGTGATCATCACCCTCATGCCCAGAAAAAAATAACGGAACAATAGAGAATATTTCTCCCGACATCTATGAGAAACGTATGTTTTCATGAACAGAAGACGAAACTCACCGCTGCAGAAGCTAATGGGTTTTGTCTGGTTCAATGAAAAGTCGCCGGAAACTTCACCGGAGACTTCTGCGAATCGCCGGATATGGGAGAGAACACGATGGCCCGGATTTTGGTTTCCCACTTAATAACATGCCGAAAGTTAGGGTGGGTCACTTCCGTTATTAACCCAATAACCGAACTGAACCGAATAAGAGTAGTTCGGTTCGGTTTGGTTATTTGTTTAATAACCAAACGGTTGAGAAAGTTGAATAACCCTTCGGGTTCGATTCAGTTCGGTTCATAACCGAATAACCACAGTTAACCGAACGGTTATTAAGTTTTTTTAATATTTTAATTTTTATCCTCATTATTATTAGTGTTATTTTTTTATACTCCACTTTTAATCTTATATATTTCATCCAGTAAACCATAAAATTTAATGTTTTTAACTTTTATCCTAATTATTGAAGTTTTTTAGATTATTTTATAATTTTATTGGAGGATTAATCATTTTGTAAATTTATTTGGATAGATATTTTGAAGTTTATGCAGGATTAATAATCTTTTTTTTCAAAATATATCATAAGTGAACCGAACCGATCTAAAATCGAACCGAATAAATCGAAAAATATAACCGTTTGGTTATAATTTTATTATGCAAAAACCGAACCGAACCGAATCGAAACCGAACCGAACCGATTAAATCTATATGACCGTTTGGATATGATTTTTTTATAACCACAATAACCGAACCCGAAATAACCGAACCAAAAACTGAACCGAAACCCGAAATGGCCACCCCTACCGAAAATTTCATTTGGGCATGTTTGATTTGGCCATTTTACTTTAAAAAAAAAATATAACATTCGATTTTTCTATGAAATTTGATTTGGTTCCGTCTTTCATTTAGGTTTGGTTCGATTTCGGTTGGGCTAAATAGACTTCTTGCGGCCCAAGTTCTTATAAATGTTTATAATCACTTTTTCATATATATTATAAAAATAAATTTATGATTATGTGAGGCTAGGCAGAACTAAAAAAAATAGACTATCATTAATAACTAAATAAATAAATAAAAAGCATTTGAAAGGTATACGTTTTTTTAATATCAACTGAAAAATTGAATAGTTTTGTAGAATTACATAACTATGTTTGTATAGTTTATAATTTGTGTATACTAAAGATTAAAATAACGAGTTTAAGTTTAGAAATAAAAATATGTATGAACGGTAGATATTTTCAGTTATAATTTAATTTTTTATTTTTAAAAAATTACAACTATTATTTTTATATTGAATTTTTATTTGATTCTAATATTTGTAATTTTACAATATAATCTTGATTTTATTTTCTTAAAAATATTTAAATGATTTTTTTATATAGTTTTGTGGTTTGATTCATTTTTACAATGACATTCGCAATAGAATGGAATGTTATTAAATTCGGTTGTAGTTTGTACAAGGGAACCAAAATGTTCATCTGAGTGATAGCCGACAAAAGGACAATGATTACGAATTTGAACAATATTCTTAAATTTGCACGTTCTTAAATATGAACCCTAAATTTTTGGAAGCATATCCCATCATTAATAGTTGCATCCACTATATATATATATATATATTATATACACTAACTAAAATTATGAAATTTAACATATCATAAATATTGATTCCGAAGGAAAATAATTTTTTTGGAAAATAATTAAGTATCAAACATTATATATCCCTTTTCACACGTGATTATCCTCTATAGTACGTAATTCATATAAATCAAAAGAAGATTATTAGATACAATTTAAAACTATGAATTAGTTTAACCTAATCCAAGGTGTGACACACACTGTGCCTCAGCATTACGTGTGCTTTAAAAAATCCACGTCAGCTTACGACTTTCCTTAATTTTGCACTTGTATATGGATCGTCTTTATTATAACACGGCCCTCCATATATTTATTTAATACCTTACAATATATAATGGTGTCCCCTAAATATTATCATTACGCTTCCCTTGTATCTGTTGGACAGTTGGCACTCATTTAAATTTAAATGGGTGTTTGAGATTCATAGAAATTGTATAATTATTAGATAAAGAACAATTATGGTAAAGGATTAACGTGGAAAATATTAAATAATATTAGAAAAAAATATATAAAAAAAGGTATCTGTCTATAAATATATATATATATATATATATATATATATCCCACCTTTGTATAATAATAATAATAATAGAAATAATAATAAAATAGTTGACGTCAAATCCAAACAATCTGATTTTGGAGATGGATTTAGATTTTTCATTTTGAAACAGATTCGAGATATAAGAAAGCTTTAAATTAATCGTCGGCCAGTTTATAGAAAAAAGAATGATTTAAACACGATTTGTTCATGTTCAATGACTATTGAAGCATCACGGGGTAACTTTCCGACCATCAACTTTGGACTTTGTTTCTCTCTCCGACCATAAAAATACAGTTCATCTTTCATGGCATGAAGAGATTGTTAATTAGATCTATTTGTGCATGTGATATGTTATCTCCTAATCATCAGTGGATCCATTATTTAAATATATAGACTCTACACACAATAAATATCATAAATTCAGAACCGTCTTACAAGAGGGTGCAAATGGTGCATTTAAACCCTTTTTTTTTTTTAAAAAATAGTGTTCTTTTAAAATTTTTGAAAATTTAAGTCATAATTTTTTGTAATATTATCACAAAAATAATTATATATTTTAAATTGAATAAAAAATATATAATCTTGATACATATATATATTAAAATTGATTAAAAATAAACTATATATATAGTATTTTCACGGAACCTCCGCCAACAATGAGATGTTTCTGATATATATATATATATAGGTTCTGATATATATATATATATATATATATAATGTAAAGATAGAATCTATATCCCAATGGAATCTACAAACGTTAACCGAGTTCTTTGCATTGAGCTCTTTTGCATCTGTTTCTCCAATAGAACATACGCCATTGGATAAAGATGATGCAAAGCTCATCCACCATCACAAATAATTAAAATATAAATATATTATTAAATAATATAAAATAAATGCAAAGCCCTAAATACAGTATATCTACAAAAGACAGATTCCTTTCTAAATAATCTAATATTATATAACTAAGGGTAAATGGCAAAAAAACCTTGTAATTTCATTTGTTTTCAATTTAAATTTTATATTTATTTTTTATCCTAAAAAATCCTGTATTTTTAGACTATCTCCAAAAAATTTTGTACTTTGCATATTATGGCAATTTAAACCCAATACTTATTTTTTTATCATAAAAACCCTATACAATTAGATTATCTCCAAAAAATTCATATACTTTGCATATTATGATAATTTAAATCATATATTTATTTTTTGTCCTAAAAAACCTTGTACAATTAGATTATCTCTGTAAAATTCATGTATTTTGCATATATGAGCAAAAATAATGTGACATCTATATCTCGCTTCTCGTGAACATGGATGTGCCACGTGGACGAAAACTAACAATATAATTACCAAAGCCAAAATATGAGAATTTTTAAAACTTTTCATTCAAACACGCAGTGGAATTTAAAATATTTTAACAGTTAAATTAAAATCATAGACGTCCGAGATAATATTTAACACAACCGTAATTAGAGTACAATACAAAAACTCATTATATTATTGGTTTTCGTTCATATGACACATCCTATATTCACGGAAAGTGGGACAAGGTGTCACATTATTTTTGTCCATATATGCAAAGTACAAAAACTTTATGGAGATAATCTAATTGTATAGTGTTTTTAAAGATAAAAAATGAGTATATGATTTAAATTATCATAATATGCAAAGTATAGAAAATTTTTGGAGATAATCTAATTGTATAGTGTTTTTAGGATAAAAAATAAGTATAGGATATAAATTGTCATAATATGCAAAGTACAAAGTTTTTTTGGAGATAATCGAAAAGATTTTTTAGGATAAAAATAAATATAGATTTTAAATTGAGACAAAATGAAAGTACAAGGTTTTTTGGACCATTTACCCTATAATTAATTAACAAAATTACCAACCCCTTATTCTATGTGCAAATTAGATCGTATATCTTATATTTGAAAATACAAGATTTTTTTATCATAACATTGACATTAGAGGTTGACGCTGCAGAAGATGTTTGATTAAATTATACACTGGTTATTTCGTACCAAATTCAAGTTTCAGTAAAATAATGTGTCGAGCCATTAATTATATTCTGATTTTGACATTTTCAATATTTATTTTCAATAAATTTTGGTGTTAATCAGGAACTTAGTTGTAGTTCGGGTTTTTAAACGGATATAAATTTGAAACAATGTACTAAATTAATCAATGACAAGACTCTTTTTCCCGTAAAACATCCTTTCTTTATGGAAGAAACAAAAAAAAAAATCTTAAGCTCGGCTCACGAAATCAAGGGCAATTTATAACCTCCATTCATTTTTTATTTTAAAAATTAATATCTAATTTATACATCATCATCAAAATGAGATAGAGAATTGTCATCGTTTTTGTGAATTTTATTTTTATATTCGAAATTAACATTTAATTTATATATCGTCGTCATGGTCGTATTGAAAATTGTCACTGATTTCATGAGTAAAAGTACCTATTTAAAACATTTAACACTTGAAGTATTAATTTGGAACATTTTAACATTTGAGATATTAATTATATCAAATTAAAAATTAAGTTATTTATTTGACACATATTTTGCAAAGTTGGGTATTAATTTATATGAGATTTTTCTACATTTTGCAAAATTGGGTATTAATTTATATGAGATTTTTCTTTAGTTTTTATATTGCTTGACTTCATCATCATTTTTTTATATAATTTCACAATATATATATATATATATATATAGAGAGAGAGAGAGGTTTGTTCTTGTGAAATTGATCGATGTGTTTTCCAAACTTAGCGTACAAACTACACATGTAGAATATCATACCGGAATTATATGCTCGACAATGAGAGTGTCTTCAGATTCCAATTCGGAATCCGAAACAGGAAGTTGTGAGAATAAAGCGACTTTAAAAAGAATTATACGTATACGGATGGTTGAAATGATCCCGAAACTCGAATTGTTTTTGAATCTATGATCTAGAAAAAATTTGAACATCTGAATTATTTTATAATGTTAGATATTATGAATTAAATTTAAATTTATAAAACCAACTTATTTTACTAGATTGAAACTGACACACACGCATATATATATATATATATATGGTGTATAACACTACAATCAAAAGCTTTTGGTGAAGTTTTGGTATCCTCTACTTTAAAAAAATAAATAAACAATTTAAATCTTTCGTAATAACTTTGTCCGCTCACCTATCGCCTGTTAGTTACGGTTGATTTACCTCCCACGCATTTGTTGTAGGTTCGTGCGTGTAGATTTGGGTTTACTCGGTCAACGCGTCCGAATGATTTCCCAGTATATAAAAAAAAAATTCAAATCATTGTTTAATAATATTATGCGTTTACTAATATCTTATTATATTTCCTTCGATAAGTCCAGTAATAATAATTAATAAAAAAGAAAACAATTGTCACTAGACGTAAAGCTGCCACGTCATAAACTCATTCGACTGCAAAAATTCTCGCCAGCTCAGCGCGTGATTTCTACGCGCCTGCATACGCACTTTGTGCATCTTCGTCACCTCCAAAAAAAGACTTTGTATTTATCCTTAATACACTATATAGGAACATTTTCATAAAAATGGACAGCCAAACACGTATATACGTATATATGTATATATCTGTTTGCGTGTATATATATACTCACATCTATATATATATATAGCTAGCCCTCATCCGCCGGACTTTCTCTCCGGCTCTCAAAACGCAGTCACGTTTTCTCTCTCTCCCTCTCCCTCTCCGAGACCTAATCGGATCTGACTCGACCCGGTAAAAGCGATCCCAGTAGGAACGGTTCAAATCGGAATCCGTCTTCTTCTTCTTTCGACAAACTCGCATTTCATCAATTTCACCATTTTTGGTTTCGAATTTTGGATTGCGTTCACCGCCTCCGAGATCGTTTCCATTTTCGATTTTGGATTGTGTTTTGTGGTTTTGGAATTTGGAAGTTTTGAGATGAGGCTAATGGACGGTGAATTAGCGTTCAAGGCGAGGCACGACGGTGAGGCCGTGGAGGCCGGCGGCGGAGGAGCGGCTGCGGCGACGGCGGACGAGGGGGCGGAGAAGGTATCTACGCCGTGTTCGTTAGGGATCGATGAGTTTCCGCAGAAGCAGAGGAGATATGTTGTTGTCGGTTATGCTCTTACGTCGAAGAAGATTAAGAGCTTTTTGCAGCCAAAACTCCAAGGTTTAGCTAAGTATGATCCTTGATTTAACCCTAATTAATCAGTATTCTAGGTTTGTTGCGCCCTCTTGCGTGGTTATTGTCAATGACTCTGAGTTAGCAGTTTCGTTCTTATGGCGATTCTCTGTGCTCCATTTTCCTGCTAATGTTGTGTGGAATGTTTTCAATTTTATATTCATTTTTCAGAGAATATTCTTTCAACTATTTAATTTAGTTTGCTCCATTTTTTTTCCTCCCTTGAGATAGCGAGTGGTTCAGGAATCTTTTGCCGAAAATTCTCTGGAAAATTCTAAACAATGTTCTCTGGAAATTTTCAGAGATTTATCCTTTAGTGGACCAGAAGGTAAATTGGTGTTGATGTCGCTTTCCCGTCATTCTTCAGCTAAAAGGATTTTGAAAATTTCAGAAATGATTTTTTTTTGGTTCCAATGGAAATATGTATTCTTCTTTCGTTTTCCATTGAAAACTCTCTGACTTAATTGATGAAGATTTAGGTGCATCATATGGAAAATGAGTGTGTGCTGTTGGTGTAAATTAGTATTTCATGGGAAGAACTACATAATATATTAGTTTTGTCAATTTACCTTTTACCGAAGAAAATATTCATATTGTTATGAAAATATACAACCTTTACCAAATTATGAACTACTGTTAGTGTAAGAACTTGTTCTTGCATTTTGTAGTAGTTGATTATAAGAATTTGTCATTGCATTTTGTAATAGTTGATTGACTTCAATAAATTGTTTGATCATAAGAGAACTTGTGTTGATGCCCAATTTACCTTGTGGCGTTTCTGTCCCACCATTTTGACCAAGTTTTGCGACTGTTTGTGTTTGCCCAGGAACAAGGGGATATTGTTTGTAGCAATAGATCAAAATAGGCCTCTTTCAGAGCAGGGCCCTTTCGATATCGTGTTGCATAAGGTCAGTGTGTTGTTTTTTTTCTCTCTCCTGTTCTTGGTTTTATTGATACCTCATCTTATTTCGCTGCGCTTCGTATTTGGCTATTTGTCAGAAGAGATGTCTTTGAAAGATGTGACCTTTTCGGGTTGTTAGAAAAGAACCTTCTGTACTTTTGGTGCACAATCTCTCTGTATTTTCACCGTGTCCTGATCACCTCCTCCTGTTGTCCTTTTCATGTGTATTATTACAGCTAACTGGAAAGGAGTGGTGTCGGATTCTCGAGGTTAGTCATGTTGTTCTTTTTCCTTTTTATTTTGCAGCCGAAATCTTTTCTCTTTCCTACAGTGCTTAGAACCTCTGTCTTGTGATGTGTTGCATCTGTATTCTAGTTATGTGATAACCTTATTGCCAGATGAGGGATGGTGGTAAATTGGTGAAAGCTGGCAACTAGATTGATTTATCGTCCAAAGCTCATTTCACCATGGCAAAATTTGCAGAGTTCTTGCTCTTTTCTTCATGAAACATGAGTCATGACTTGATACTTGAGGTCGAGGCCTTAAGCTTCCTGCAAGTGAGGATGTTTCTGCTTCCAGGAGCATCTAACTGATAATTTCAGGTTTCCCTAGAATTATATTATTGATTTGTTTTATGAATTATTTGACGGGTTTACTTGTCTTATATAATAGTCGAGTGCCAAACTGTTCCCTCTTTAGGTACAAAATTTTGGTTTATTTGACATCTTATCTGTAGCTCGGGTGCATTTAGCTCTCTTTTTCTGATTCTTCCCAAGGGTCAAAGCACTTTACCTTGTGTTATATTTGTGTCAACAACATCCCCTGAATCTTTTCCTTTCATCAGAAACCGTTAGTGCTGTAAAGTTCAATTGTTCTGACCTCGAGTCCTTGACACCTTTTGATCTATCTATCAATTGTTAGAAAGTGTAGATGACGCCACAGCGATATGTTGTTTTGGGTGTCAAAATTCAAACTTGTTTGTCTTTGTGTACCTTCTAGGTCCATGCAGTCTCTTGAGGTCTGTCTTTGACCTTCATTTGTTTTATATCAGCTTCTGGGTGTAGTTGAATGTTTAGTTCTCATGTTTGGTTTGTATATGTTTGGCCCTTGATCTTATTTCTCAGGGTCATGAAGTTAGGAGATATATTTACGCTTGGATTTAATAGCATCTTTATATTTTGTAGTTTGCAGTAAACCATTATCCCCGAGATTTTAGTGACTTAAAAGTGTAGAAATTTTTGTTTATATGAGTATCACCTGGTTTCTTCAGGACTTTATCCCAGTGTTTAACTCTTTGTTTCCTTGGGGCATAGGCTCTTTTCGAATGGGGTTATTGGTTGGTGTAATCCCTGCCTTTTAGTCATCCACTGCAATGGAAGATTATGAAACTACCCAATGAATCACTGCCCTTTAGAATATGATATCCTGTTGTGGATGTCTATAAGTTTTGCTGTACTTCTCTCTTAACCGTGTTTTCTTAAATTTCCAGGAATATAGGCAAACACACCCTGATGTAACAGTTCTTGACCCTCCAGATGCTATACTGCATCTCCGAAATCGTCAGTCCATGCTTCAGTGTGTAGCTGACATGAATTTTTCCAACACTTATGGTAAGTTTTCCTTTTTGATAGAGATGCTCAAATGGAAAAGCGTTCCTTCGATCTGATTGGAAGAAATTGTTACAACTCGTGCAGGAAGAGTTGGTGTGCCGAGGCAATTGGTGATAAAAAAGGATGCATCATCGATCCCCGATGCTGTCAGAAAAGCTGGACTAAGACTACCACTTGGTATGTGTCTACACGCGTTTTCTTAATTTACGCCGGTTTGATTGCATTATCATAACATGTATCACTTCTTCATTTGCCGAATCTTTATTGAATTTGGGAAATTGTTGAAATTTTCAGTTGCAAAGCCATTGGTTGCTGATGGAAGCGCAAAGTCACATGAAATGTCGCTGGCCTATGATCAGCAGTCCCTGAAGAAGCTCGAGCCTCCTCTTGTTCTTCAGGAATTCGTGAACCATGGTACGGATTTAACATCTACTACATACATAGTCAGCTTTTTTTTTTTAAAAAAAAACTTGTAGAGTATATGATGGGTTTGGCAGGAGGAGTTCTTTTCAAGGTTTACATAGTTGGGGAGGCAATTAAAGTGGTGAGGCGTTTCTCCTTGCCCGATGTCTCCAGACGAGAACCGTCTAAATCCGCTGGTGTATTCCGTTTCCCACGTGTCTCTTGTGCTGCCGCTTCCGCTGATGATGCAGATCTCGATCCTTCTGTCGCGGGTAACAAAATCTGCCTCTCTCTGTTTCTTTTTCCGCTGAATATACATGTACATCTGTCTCTTTTTAACATTTGGACCCGATTACTCTAACTGCAGAGCTTCCTCCACGTCCTCTTTTGGAGAGACTGGCAAAGGAACTCCGTCGTGGATTGGTACATTCTATTTCCTCTAAAAGTTAACTTTATGTATGCATGCATATAATACTTAAAAGTGTCTCTCACACTTGTGTTTAACCGAGCGGCAGGGACTGAGGCTGTTCAACTTAGATGTTATAAGAGAGCATGGGACAAGAGATCGGTTCTACGTTATCGACATCAACTACTTTCCAGGCAAGTGAATCAGGATTCTCCCTTCTCTTGTGGTAGACAGATTAAGGATCGTAGCTGGTGGATGTCCGTTTTAGGAATATTGGGTTTGGGGGTATAATAAACATCGGATGGATGGATGGATGGATGGATTGGGTGCAGGATATGGGAAGATGCCGGGGTATGAGCACATATTCACCGACTTCATACTGGGTCTGGTAGAAAGCCAATGCAAGAAACGAGCCTTGCCCGACGATGATGATGATGATTACTGAAAAGAATAAGAAAGGAAAGGGGTATGTTGGGATGTGTGGTGCAAGCGACAAGAACGGAACATTGGCGATGATGCTTTGAAGGAAGAAGAGTTGTGTACATAACATAATGACTTTCTGACTTTTGGCAACCGCATGAGATGATGCTGAGCTCCTTCTACGCGAAGAAACAGCTCTTTCATTGATCGTATCATTGGTTTTGTCCTAATGTGGTGAAAGAAGAAGACATAAACACTAGAAGAGAAAGACTCACACCACCTTATGTGACTGTTTATTTACGGCAGTGACTCAATTCTGTTTTTGGTTTGTTTTTTATTGTCGAAACTTCCAAGATAATCTTTTTACCTTCCTTGAAAAATCCAGTAAAATCACGAGTTTAGTGGAAATTAAGAAACACAATGAATTTTTATTTCAAAATATAAAATTATTCTGATTTATCATGTAACACATGCACATTAACTTTTAATATTTCTTCTTAATATCAGTATGGATCGGATATTTGAGATTTTCGGGATTTTCAAATCCGAATTTTTGATAGAGAATTATCCAAATTTGAATTTCTAATTGATTATATATAACCGAAAATCGTATCCTAGTTAGTTCTTAGAAAATCTAGTGTTACCGATCCATAATTCGATCGGAGCCAATCATGAATACAAATCAAAGTTTCAATTAGTTACAAAGTAAAAGCACTATGAAATGGAACGGTAACACGACGAATCATACTAAAAACAACTTCCGACGCAACTGTTAGGTATTGGTATTGCCAAAACACTACAAAAAGGGGATAAAACCATCTATGAATAAACAAAGATACACTAGATTTAGTAGTGTAATTAAAGAGAAATTCTCAAAAAAATCATCCAATTATGAGATAAATATCACATTTATCACGAACTTTTAAAATTTCCAAATTCATATTGGATTTGAAATTTTTTTCTAAAAAATCATTCGAAATTTAAATTTTAACAAAATCCTCATCGGAACAGAATTAATTTTACCACGTAGGCAGAAAGCGCCTATATGGCGCCTACGTGGCATGTACGTGTTCGCCACTATGATACATGTAGCATTAATAATAAAAAATTTAAAAAAAATTAGAAAAAATGTAAAAAAAATATAAAAAATGTGAAAAAATTATAAAAAATATAAAAATTGTAAAAAATATAAAATTGTAAAACATTTTCAAAAAATGTAAAAATTATAAAAATTGTAAAAAATTGTAAAAAAATTGCAAAAAATTATAAAAATTGTAAAAATTGTAAAAAAATGTAAAATTGTAAAAAAATGTAAAACATTTTCAAAAAAATGTAAAAAATTGTAAAACAAATTGTAAAAAATTATAAAATTTTAATTTGTTTTTAAAAAAAGGGAAATTTCCAAAAAAAAAATCATCCAATTACGAGATAACTATCAAATTCATCAGAACTTTACAATTTTATATTTCTTTACAATTTTTACAATTTTTACAATTTTTTGAAAATGTTTTGCAATTTTACATTTTTTACAATTTTTATAATTTTTTGCAATTTTTTTACAATTTTTATAATTTTTACATTTTTTTACATTTTTTGAAAATATTTTTATAATTTTACATTTTTTACATTTTTTACATTTTTTTTGTAATTTTTTCACATTTTTTATAATTTTTTTACATTTTTTCCAATTTTTTAATTTTTTATTATTAACGCCACGTGTATACTACGTGGCGAACACGTACATGCTATGTAGGCGCCATATAGACGCTTTCTGCCTACGTGGCAAAATTAATTATGTTCCGATGAGGATTTTGTTAAAATTTAAATTTCGAATGATTTTTTAGAAAAAAATTTCAAATCCAATATGAATTTGGAAATTTTAAAAGTTCGTGATGAATGTGATAGTTATCTCATAATGGATGATTTTTTTGGGAATTTCCCGCAGTTAAAAAACACTTCACTGAAATACTTCCACACAACATCATCTTAGAGGTGTTGCATTTCTTCTATTATGATGGATGTACTGTGTGCCATCTCATAGGTGATGCGGTCTTCTGTAATTCGTATAACATTTTCAATATGCATGACATTGGTACATAGAACATTATTTTTGTACAAAACTTTTCTCCATAAAGTCTTATTCGAACAATATCTATTAAAGAAAATTTACACGGTACCAATTCTTAATCTCCATTACACTAAAAAAATATGTAACTATTTTTATAAACATCAATCTTTTTGTAAGATATTTCCAAATTCTTCAAAATAGTCTTTGAATAATAATAAGATTCCGTAGTTTGGTTATTTTCAAGTAAATCTCACGTAAAATCTGGTAATCTGTCTAATTCTCTATGACATTGTAATATGTTTTCATACTCATCTGTTGGGTTTCCTGGGATCTCATAAGCGAATCTAATTCCTAAGAGATCAGTTCTAGGGTTTGCGCAGCGGATGTAAAACAAAAATTTTGATAAAAACCCTAAAACCTATCATGCATGATCTTGTAGAAAAGTTAGAACGCTTACCTCAATCGATCCGGGGCCTGTATCAATTGATGTGTTCGTCCGATCACTGTAGGCAGGAAGAATACCTTTCCCTCTACACGTATCCACACGGCGGAAAGGATTCGAACGGTTAGAACTTGTCTGCTAGGACTGAAGAACACGTTCTTCTTTGCGCAAGGGTTTCAGGGATCTAACTCTTAGGTTTTCCACTCTCAAAACCTCTCTATAGGGTCTGAAAGTTGTGCCAAGAGGCTTAGGAGGCGTCACCTAAAGTTAATCCCACTTAAAACCCTAATTAGAGCGAGTTTGGGAAATCCCGACGTCTGGACCGATCGGTCTGGGTTGGCTGGACCGATCGGTCCAGACCTTCTGGACCGGTCGGTCTGGCCTCCGCTCCACCGGGATTTTCTCGTCTCTTCTCGCGCATTCGTCATTTCCAGTGTGTGTGACCCGGTAGGCTCATCCGATATAGCAGTATAACCCGAAATCTGTTATTTCGGTTACACAAGTCATAGGCGGTCTCTAGCAAGACATTATGACTACTTATCTCGAATAGAGTTTGTTCGTGATCCTACGAACGCCAGTGATGATTCCATTTGATGATCCTTTTGTATCACGATATCATATGTTGAATATAAAGCATGGACAAGCCACCTTATCTGATTCGACTGCTTTCTCGTTCACTGAGTTCGGCTGTCTGAAATAGACGATGTTCGTCTATAGTGCGGCCACACATTTCTACAGTTTTGCTCAAACGAGGGGCCGAGCGATATCTCTCTCTTTTACGAGAGGTACAAATCCCGTCTTGACTATCTACAATCCAGCACATGATTCGTTTCGTACCTGATACACGCCTTTATAGTCCTCCTGTTACGCAGGACGTTTGACGTATTCAAAGCACGCAACTCCTCATGTTGGATTTCGTAGATATCTCAGTTCTTAGGATCCAATCATGGAACCGCCATATGAGATTCAAGTCATGGCGCTAGTCCATGTGACAATCTCATGCGGGTCAATCCAGTATTCCGTTCTCACACGAATACCTATGGTATCCAATACCTATGATCAACGCTATGATCATTAATCACACATCATACTAGTCTTATTATGTCATCATTCCCATAATGACACAAGACTAGGGAGTTTGGTATCATTCATAATGATACATGGATTTCATAACAGATCTAGTATGCAAGAACATGTAATGAATCAAATACTCTCATATAAACCATATAAAGTATCAATACATCGAATGTATCTCAATAAAGCTCATAATCAGTACATCATAGAGCACTAAACCAACAATCTCCCACTTGCTCTAATCATGGACTGCTAAACATCTAATGCCCATATCTCTAACATGACCCTCATGCTTCGACGAAGGGAGAGGCTTCGTCAATGGATCGGCAATGTTGTCATCTGTCGACACTCTGCAAATGTGCACGTCTCCTCTGTCTATGATCTCCCTGATGAGGTGAAATCGTCTGAGTATGTGTTTGGATCTTTGATGGGATCTGGGTTCTTTCGCTTGTGCGATTGCTCCATTGTTGTCACAATACAGAGCAATGGGGCTATCAGCACTCGGAATGACACCCAAGTCTCCAACAAACTTTCTGATCCAAACAGCTTCCTTTGCTGCGTCCAACGCTGCAATATACTCAGCTTCTGTAGTAGAATCTGCAAGGTCGCTTGCTTAGAACTCTTCCAGCTAACAGGGCCTCCATTCAAGCAGAAAACATAACCAGACTGCGATCTGTAGTCATCCGAGTCTGACTGAAAACTAGCATCGGTGTAACCCTTTACAGCGAGCTCGTCTTCCGACCCACCGTATACCAAGAACACATCCTTAGTCCTTCTCAAGTACTTCAGGATGTTCTTGACGGCGATCCAGTGCGACTCACCTGGATCTGACTGGTATCTACTCGTAATGCTCAACGCATAGGATACATCCGGTCGAGTACAAAGCATGGCATACATGATCGATCCAATTGCCGAAGCATATGGAAAACGATCCATGCGTTCTCGCTCATCAAGTGTCATAGGACACTGACTCTTGCAGAGAACTGTGCCACTGCTCATCGGTAAAGTTTCTTTCTTGGAATCTTGCATCTTGAACCGTTTCAAGACCTTATCGATGTAAGTACTCTGACACAATCCTAGAAGACGCCTCGATCTATCTATATAGATCTTGATGCCTAGAATATAGGCCGTTTCTCCTAGGTCCTTCATAGAAAACTGCGTTCCTAGCCAAGACTTAACGTCTTGCAAGGTAGGAACGTCATTTCCTATAAGGAGAATGTCATCCACGTACAGCACTAGAAATACAACTGTGCTCCCATGACCTTCTTGTAAACACATGGCTCACAGGTCTGAGGATCCAAGAACGAACCGATGTATGAGATTCAAGTCATAGGTTCCAGCTCCTCGAAGCCTGCTTCAGTCCATAAATGGACCTCTGAAGCTTGCACACCATCCTCGGGTTCCTTGGATCGACAAAACCTTCGGGTTGTGTTATGTACACATCATCGATCAAGTTCCCGTTAAAGAACGCGGTCTTGACATCCATTTGCCATATCTCATAGACGTAATATGCGGCTATGGCAAGCAGGATCCTGATGGACTTCAGCATAACTACAGGCGAAAAGGTCTCATCATAGTCAATACCATGAATTTGACGGAACCCTTTCGCAACAAGTCGTGCCTTATACGTGTGCACGTTGCCATCCATGTCGGTCTTCTTCTTGAAGATCCACTTGCATCCAATGGGTTTTATCCCTTCAGATGCATCAATCAGAGTCCATACTTGGTTGTCTCACATGGATTGCATCTCGGACTTCATAGCCTCGTGCCATTTCTCAGAATCCGGA